CCCCCCCTTCCTCCTGTGTCTCTCTCACCAGGGCTATGTCCTCGGCAGCCACCACAGCTCCCTCTGTGGACAAAGTGGACGGATTTTCACGGAAGTCTGTCAGGAAGGCCAAGCAGAAGCGGTCGCAGAGTTCGTCCCAGTTCCGCTCTCAGGGCAAACCTATAGAGCTCACGCCCTTGCCCCTGCTCAAGGGTAAGTAGAAACACATGTTTGCATGTATGTGAGAGAAATCTGTGGTTTGTGGGGTGAGAGGCACAAGGGATGATTACCAAATCAAATACAAGTAACATCTAAAAGGCCCCTCTAGCTTTGTTTCTGTTAATCTAATTGTACTGAATTTGAACCCTGGTTCACTGACTCAGTTTCATTGCGTGTAATGTACACAAAAGTGTTATTATATTCAGACATTTTCATATTTCACAAGTATATTTTTTCAAAATTAATGACTAAATTAATGTAACATAAATGTCTGGATATAGGCTAGTCTAGCATTAATCAATCAGCTGAAATAACAGCTGTGATGAGCACTCGAAATCACCATAAACTAATGCTGAAGATCCAACAGTTGATAAGTCATGACTGGAATATTATTTTCACCACTATATAAGCTAACTGGATATGCTTTGCCTCTATATCTGTTACACTAGTCAGAGGCTCTTTCAGGGACTTCCTCTTTTTCACATTTTTTATGTGTTAAATAATTTGATGACAATGCCACATTAGCAAATAGCCTCCATAAACGCACACAGTTTGCAGTATTTTTTTTGCAAAGAAATGGGGGATAAAATGTGCACGTCTAGTCTTTGATGAAATGATACTAATGTTCTGAACATACAGCAGAGAAATTAAATGAAAGTAGGCTATCGATCACATCACACAGGTATTCATCTAATACCAATAACAATGATGGTATTCATAGCATTGATCATTTGTATCAATCTGCCCACCCCAAGTGAAAACTAAGCCAGCAAATGGCAAATTTCCCCCATTATGCTTAAGCGGCTACAGCAGTAATTACTCAGAATAGAGATCTGTTCTGATTAGTTAATATCAAGCTGAGCAGAGCAGATGATAGTTATGTGTAAACCCATTAAGTCTGATATTTAGGTAAGTAAAATGTCTTAAATGTGAAGTGAAGATTCATTCGTGGTAGTGTTAAACTTCGCTTCAGGGTTTTCAGGGCTTTGGGTGTGGCACCCCCCCCCCCCCCCCTCTGGAGAAATTGGGGTGTTCTAAAACCTTTGACCAGTAGTGTATCTGACAGAAAATAAGCAACTGCATAATGTTTTCACTTGTGAATAATTTGTGTGGACACCGTTCCTACCTTAAGTGCACAACACAGGCTTGTAAAAGGGGGACCTTCCAGGGGCTTTAAGCGTAGATGGCTCATTAAAACAGAAAGTTTTGGGTTTTTTTTTAAATCAAGACACTCACCTTCAACTTGTGTTTTGTCTCTGCCCATTGATGGCAAATTTAGTAGCATTGCTCTGTATAGTCTGGTTGGTTTAGTTCTGTTTGAATGCAGCTGCTTTTCTATGCCAACTATTCTCTGTATGCGAGTGTTTTATTAGTGACATGTCTAGACAGGCAGATCATTTCGATGATTGCAGAGAGCAGGTTGGTGCTAGAGGACGACCTGTACAAGTTATACAAGATCTATTCTAAAATTTACTGTGGTATTAAGACAGTCCACCTTAAAAATAATCTTGTTTTATTGTCACAAGTAGTCATGGATTACTCAGTTGCTCTGCCCGATTCTGCTCAGATCAGCTGGTTGTTGAGTTTGTGGGTTTTAAAGCATGTGTCTTACCAAGAGGGAAGTGGCCTCTGTTTGGCACGCTGTGTGACATCAACAGTCATAACAGAGTTGAAGGGTGTTTCCCCTGTCTCTTCTTTACTTTGAGTTTTCATTCATTATAAGTTTGCGATACTATTATATCAGCAAATGTCTAATACTGGCTAAAAAAATCAGTCTAGAGATGTTCTCATTAAATGCAAGATGTATGTGAGGAATAAGAAGATCATAGGTTAAAATATGAGGAATCTTCTGATTCCTCAAATGGTTTAATAATAATATACCCTAAGCTTGTTCTTGTTATATGTAGCTGTTTGGCTGTCATGATGAAATGGACTTAACATTTGAACTGCCTTGAACAGAGATTGGCTCCTCACATTTTGTTGTGAGAGGTTTTTTCAAGTTTAAAGTTGGAAACATGGATACATTTTCAGTTATCATAGAACCGCTGAGAAAGTCCAGAGGCTCAGGTTAGGAGGAACTGGCAAAGATCGATTTAAACGGATCTACACCCATATGTATGTTTTTGATCATGCCGCATTATAAGGGCATTTTCTCTAAATTGTTCGATAAAGAGTCTCAGTGTATTAATAAGTAATGGAATGTGTTCAAACGTCACATCTCATATAACTTTAACCTGCATTGTGACATGCTAAGTGAATAAGGCATCTGTGCTATGTAGCTGGGTGTAGTAATACACAATGCGTTACACTGACGTTTCACCTGAGTAAATACAACAGTGTGGTGGTGTGGTTTGGTAGTGACTGCAGGAATGCTGTCAGACAGAAACCAGACAGATCCTCCTCCTCTCTGAGACTGAGGGAAAGTCACTTCATAGCTCCATCTCAGGATGCAGGAAGAGGCAGAAGTGACTGATGAAGGCAGCTGAAGATAACAGTAGGCTCTCTTGTCTTAAAACTATGTTAAGGTCATCGTCTATTACACATAAAACTAACAAGTTACTACACTTGGTGCACTGAGTTAATCATAATCTCTGTGCTAACTGTCAAATGGTTCTGTTCTCTTATCTCATAGAAGCTTATATTCAGTGACACCTGTGCTGTCTGTGCTGTATATGTAGACTCTGTCAGCACACAGCAACACGCTTGATCTCCAAGCCTGTGTTGATTACTGTGGTTTCCATGAGCTGCAGATATTTTTAGTAAAGAGGTATAGTCTGTCTGCTAAAGAGAGAAGCAAAAACATCAGGGTAGTTCTAAATGTTTCAAAGAAATGCAGAACTAAATTTAATAGAAAGCCATGCTTCATTTCCTTTTTTGGAAAAGCAGAACAGCAAATCCACCTGGACAATGATAATATTAGGAAATAAAAAACAAGAAACAGAGCAGGTAAGAGTGCTTCAGGTGAGGTCGCAGACTAAACTTCACCTTGGTATACCCTTGGTTTTTTAGTGTGCTCTATGAATAAAGTTTATTATTATTATTATTATTATTATTATTATTATTATTATTATTATAAAACATGCTGAAGGTGGGACACATGACGTCCACTCAGTCGCCATGAATTCACGGTGGGAGTTACCCTCTCTGGAATACATCGGAAGTCACACAGACTTTGAACTAGGGACGTGGTGGTTAGAGGAGACTGTTGATGTGTAGAAACAGCTTCAGTGATAAATACAATTAGAACCATAGTGTGTGGAACCACAGTTATGGTGTCAGAGAGGAATCCCCCTTCTCAAGTGTTTTTTGTGCAGTGAAGCCGTTAAAAAGCAGCAAGTGTACAGCGGATCATATTTCCTGTACTGTTTTTGCAAAAGGCTCTGCTTTCTTCTTCAAAAGGTTGCTTTCAGGAAATTCTGTCCTGTTGTCCTCCCAGTAAACCACCACTGCAAAAAATGCTGGAATCATCTGATAGAGTAGGTTGATAATTAAACAGCAGCACCACTCAGTGTGACCTCAGGTCCTCGAGTACGTGGTTGATACGATTAGTGATTTAAACCATACCCAGTAACCTGTGAGTCAGTTTCTTTTTTAAAAGAGACAACCCAGATGCAATTTGTTCTTTAAACAGTCATAAATTCTTTGGGATTTACATTGACAATTAAATATCAAATGCTTTTACAATTAAACCTGTCCCAACCAATGATGTCCTTATTGACTTGATCAGTCTTTTAATATTTTGTATCTCCTCAAAGAGTCACATCCAGTACTTACTTTAGATTTATCAAAATGTTTTAACACTGACGTGCATGTTTAGCTCTGATACTGACAGCGTAGTTGCCACAGTAATAATTATGACGCGTTTTCACCGTCTGTTTAAAACACTTCTCAGGTTTTTGGCTATACTGACACGATAACATCACACAGTTGCTTACTTGTCGGCACCAAATCCACGATACAAATCTCTTAACTCTTAAATAACCTTGTTTTTTTCCACTCCTTATTCTGATGCTCAGTTTAAGCTTAAACAAGGCCATCTTTACCATGTCTAACATACCCGAAAGATTGAGTTGCTGCCGTGTGATTGGCTGATTAGATGTCTGTGTTAAGAGGTGTACCTAAGGCCATGTCCACACTAATATGTTTTGGTTTGAAAACGCATCATTTTGGCCTTCCGTCCACACTGAGACGGTGTTTTCAGTCAGGGAAAACGGAGCGTTTTGAAGACGCTCTCCAAAGCAGATTCATTTGAAAACTCTATTTTCGCGGCGCAGTGTGGACAGAGAACCCGGAGCCTTTTCGAAAACGATGACATATTTTAGTCATGTGATGGAGTCATGTGACCAATTAAACTAAGATAGCGGAGGGCATTACACAGCAGTTGTTTTGTTTGCTCTCAATTTTGACAGCTCTATTAAAGATTTAATATCAGTGTGTACATGCTCCAGATAGTTTTTCTTCAAGTTCTTTAATTCACGCTCGCTTTTGCAACTTTGTACTTTTGTGTTACTCGCACCAACAACTCCACCTCATTGTTGGTCCATTTAAAAAAAACTCTGTGCTTTTCCTCGACATTTTGCAGCAACGTTTCAAAGAGCTGGAAAGTAAATAAACAGCAGACAGAAATGAGGCAGGTCGAATTGTATTGTGTTTCACGCATGTGCAGTACTGGAATGTAAGCGTTTTCACCTGTTTCAGTGTGGATGAGCAGCTCTATGAAAACGATAGTGTGGACGCGGAGCGTTTTCAGACGTATACGCCGTTTTCAAATATATGTGGGCTAGTGTAGACATAGCTTAATAGTGACCAATGAAGTGTATGTAAACAGCTAACAGTGGTTTATTTTACAGTCTTACTGTATTTATTTGTGGTTCAGTGACTGAGCCGGCACACGTCCGTCTTTTTCAACACTTCCATGGTTCAGTTTCACACGTTCACTTTGCATTCACACACATCCACACATTTCCCACCTCCTCAGTACAATCACAGTCTGCTGCTCCTGACCACTGCCTCAGCAGCTCCACTGGAGCTCCACTTTTAGCCCCGGACGGTCTCTTTACCTATTATGGATTTGAATTTTTGCTGTTATTCATTTTCTCCTGCCTCTATACTGGATTCTCTTCAGAATCTCTTTGAGCACAGACTCATGGGAAAATTAAAAAGAAAAAAAAATGTTTCAGTAACATGGACCTCCTGAGGTTTGCACCAATTCAATTCAGTTTTATTTATGTTTTATTTATATAATACAAATCACAACAACAGTTGCCTCAAGGTGCTTTATATTGTAAGGTAAAGACCCTGCAATAGTAGACAGAAACCTCTGCATTAAACACGTGTCTGTGTAAAAAGATTGTTTTTATACTGATTCTTAATGCAGCCGATTACACAGACTTTGTAATTTCACTGGACAAATTTCTTTCTTTCTTTTCTTTTTTGGGCAGTTCAGCAATGTGCTCGCTGTGTGGCCTTTACTTTTACAAATCCGTCCAGTTTATATATTTATATTTTTTGTGCCTTATCTGTCTCTATTGCCCTCTTCATTGTCCCTCGATAACACCCAGTGGAAAAAGGTCAGCACAGATACAGTCAAATCACACTGATTTTGAAAGTCAATCCACAGTCAGAAGTATCCATGTCCTCCTGTTTTCGCTCTTTGATGATGATTATGATGGATCCATATACTGGCTCCAAGCTCACACATTAACTTTAAAGCACACACAGAAGTCCGGGTGTGAACCCGTGTGCGCGCCCTGACACGTCTGTGCTGCAAGTGTCGGTTATATGTGCAGGCATGATGTGAAACTAGGGCTTTGCAGATTTTAATTTATTATGAATGTCAGCACAACGACAGTATTAATTGAATGTATCAATGGGCTCAACCTGCGATGTGATCAAGCTGTTCTGTGCCGGGAACACATTTTAATGTTACCATTCTGTTCCCAGCCCTGATCGCCTCCTTCATACGCTTGACAAGCATTAGCCAGTTAGCACAAGTACTGGCTTTAAAGGAAATTTCAACAATTAAGCTTGCTATTTAGACCCATCAGTCAGTGACTCCTGTTTCATTCAGATGTCACTCTTGCACCACATTTTGTGAAAAATGGTTTGGGCAAGTATGTGAGCCTCATGTTTGCTGTTAGCTTGTAAAGACTAAAGACCATTTGCAAGTCCCTGAGCATCCACGTGTGTCTGCGTAACATAACATGCGTAACATTTCATAATCAGAAGGTAGGCTTAAGGGTCTTAACGTCTGCATGCCTGCTTGTTTTTTTTTTTTTTTAAATGATTGCATGAACTTGTCTGCAGAGACTTTTCATTACGTTGCACCCCAGGCAGTGTAAGTAGAACAGGAATAACAGCTCGGCCATCGTGCCTTTAGCAGTCCCTGTCCGCAACACAGTATAATTAAGACTTATTGTGACAGTTTTAGTGACTTGACACAGTTTTGCTTAACTGTTGACTGTGGCTGTTTTTACACATTGTACATACTGAATGAGTCTTAATGTAGATGGAATCCACTGAATGAAATTAAAAAAAAAAGCTTTAAATTGTTAGTTTACATAGACTTTAAGGAATGGTTCAGCACTTTGTGATTTGTCAGCATTACCTGATTGAAAGAACACATCAAAGAGGTTTCAGACCAGCTTTACTGTCTGCATTGGTGTATAGAGCACACTGATGACACTCGTGTGCCCTTTGGTTCACCGTGAGCTGGTGTCTACATGCAAACATACAGCTGCGTTGAGTTTGGAGAGAACCTGGACGGTCTCATTTATTTCCCAGGATTTGGATCCATCTGATCACAAGACGACTGCACCAACCTCTGAGCCTCCCTCCACTCCCATATATGTCCACTTAAACCAAGTGAAAGAACAAGGATTAAGTTTGTCTCTTCCACTTGTCTGTTTTGAACTTTACACTATAAACAGCAGGCCCTCTGTGACGAATACCAAAAGCCCAGTGTTAAGGCACCAACCAGTAAAATTGAGTTAATACATGAAATCAGTCATTGAAGACAAACAGAGCCAGCGTCAGATGATCATAATGCATTTGTGGCCTCCAGGTGGCGAACACAAGGACTGACATTTGTTGGCCCCGCTCCTTGTGTGTGTGTGTGTGTGTGTGTGTGTGTGTGTGTGTGTGTGTTTAATTACTGACAGGCACTTCTACCTCTAATCTCTCTGCAGTATATAACTGCCAGGAAGAGGTGTGCTGGGCAACTATGCTGTATTTTATTAACTGGCTTACAGAGTTCACACCATGACTCAAACCATTTGGGAGTGTTTTAGACCAGCATTCAGAGAAAGAACTTGGGCATATATATTATACATTTGTATACATTTCTAGTGTTTTAAAGATTATTCTGTCTTTTTATGTTGTAGTTTTTGATTGTTTTAGTTGCCTTGAAGACATGTCTCCTATTTGTTTGAAGCTTGAGTTTGAAATTCCTGCTACTTGATTTTTCATGATTTTCTCTTCTTTTCACATCCTTCGTGTAGTCTTGTGGGGTGCGTATTTTATGATTCATTTCCTACGTTTCTTGTTTATTTCTATAAGCTCTCTATATTTACTTCCTGCCTTGAGGTGTACATGTGTGTAGCAGAGGTGGGCGTTAATCTGGTCTAGTGTATTCGGACTTTAGAGGTTTAGCAGACTGCAAAAGCACATCATCAGGATGCACAAATCATATCGTATTCCCTCTCCATTTCCTTCTCCTGCTTCTTTTTGTGGGTCAGTCGCAGGCACAGGTCAGACTTGAGCCAGAAGTGACAAGCAGGGTCTTGATGAGGCACGGTGGATTACATAAATCCAGTCGTTGGCAGCAGGCTCATTCCTGGATATTTAGAGGAAGACAAGTAAGACACTGTCTCCTCAAGGGAATCCTGGGGAGGAGGGGAAAGGATGACGCACACTGCCAGGAATTTTCACAATAAACCCGGTGAATGACACCACCCCGTCTTCTGCAGGTATACACATTTCTCGGTATTGTAATGATCAACAGGATCACGAGAATGTGTGCACCTTGTGCACCGTGTACACCAGGGTGCACATTCGATATGAATAAAAATAAAAATGTCATATTTTTACATTTTTAAAAAGATCCCCTGTTCGATCCCGAGAGGAGACGCATATTCCTTTGGGTTTTGCTTCAAGAATGGCATCCGCTGTAAAAATGCCAGATCAAACATGCGGAGATACCCGCTGTGACGGCCCCTTGTGAATAAGGAAGCAGCTGAATGTAGCTGCTTCTTCAGATTTTCACATAGCAAAATGTTAAAAATAAAAATCAACGCCTCCCTTCAAGCTGTATAGTTAATTGACGATGTAGTTTGGCGTATCTTTGTGTAGAACAAATAACTGAGCGTCTGTGTTCAGGGTGTATGCTATATTTACCAAATTAAACAAATGTATACTGGAAAAACTCAGTAACAGTAATGTTGTGTTTGACGTGTACAAACATGCCATTCTTCACCTTGTGTGCTAACATTGTTGGCTTTTTGATGTCTGAAAATAATAACTTGTTATTGACATTAAGTCTAATAATTAGTAGAACAATCTTTGGGTATATATGCTATATCATAAATGATTTTAGCTTATTAGTTAACAAACAGTAACTGCCAAATGTGACTGGGTGAACTATACACTCAAAACCGTGCAAGCTGAATAAAGTGTAACTGAAGAAGCCTGCATAGGCTCAGTGTCCTGATTTGGAATGGGTGCATGTGCAGTTACAGCTTGTACTCTGTAGACAGTGGAGGTCGTTGGTTTTATTCTTTTAATTAGCAAAACATCCCAAAAAAGACTGAGAATGATGCTGCTTTCGGCTCCTCAGCTTCCACTTGGCAGACTGCCCTTTAGCAAGGAGCTAAATCTTCCCAAACAAGACTGCATTTGTACTACACATCTCCCAGGCTGGGCTGCATAACTGTGAATGCGAAGCAAAAATGTAAAAAATGACGACCCAGCCGGGTTCTTCTGAATCAATAGAGTTTAAATAGAAAGCCAACTGCTCCCTCCTCTAAAAGATTGAAATGAAAATTGGAAACGGTACACGGCTCGTGCTCTCTGCAGACCTCTGGGGACTTTAAGAGTTTCAGCTTGCTGCTACTTGTGCTTGTGCGTAGTAAAAGTTTTCTCCAACGTGATAAACATTCACAAGAGGAAGGCAGAAAAAAATTGCCAGCACGATCCCCACTTACTGTCAGAGTTGGCATAGCAACAAAATCATCCCTTTAGCTGGATGCATCCAGCGTGCAAGTTACACAGTTAAAGGATACTGCTGTGACATTGTAAATATGCACAGAATTATATAATCTAATTTACATTCCTGTTACAGTTGGCTACATTCATTTAAGGAGGCAGGATGAATAAGCAGAGGCAGAAAATGGTGATCAGCCTGGTGGGTCACCTGCAGGAAGGCATAAGAGTCCTCTAATGTTATGTTGTTGGGGAAAGGAGCTAGTTAGAGACGCTGAAACTTTAATACATTCACCTTTTCCTGAGAGCTAAAATGACTAAGGATGTCCTGATTCATGAATTGATATTTACTGTGCTGACTGCCTTCAATCCATCGGCAGATAAGATTGAGATTTAAACGAACCAGTGACTGATTTTTATGTCTTTTGTCTCATCAGTTTTATTCTGGTTAAGTGATTATTTTCAGTCAGTCTGAGCACAAAAAGGACCTTTCACCTGCTATTTTAACACTTGCCTGTGCCTGTTGAGCTTAGTCCATGAAGTAGAATTACTACAGCAGATCTGAAGCCCTCTAACTGCTGTGTGGAGAGAATTCCTTTAGGATTCAGGATTCCTTTCCCACTCCTGCACGTTGTCCTTTTCCTCTTCCCAGCTCTCGTGTAGGTGCTTTCCTCTCATGCCACGCTGATGTCTTATAGTCAGCTCCTTCCAATTACAGCTGCTGTAGTAGAAATAGGAAAAACTATAACAATAGAAGCCTTTTAATGGCTATATCTGGTTTTGACAGCAACCGCAGGCTAACGTGGGCTATATTCTCCTGTGGTTGAACGTGTCCTTGACATTTTCAACCCAAATTAGGTTCCCCTCATGTCTTAAGCTCATGTCCACTTGGCGTAGGAGGACTGATCTGTCTCTGACCTATCCTTGGACAGCAGTCTTTAAAGGAAAAAAAATAAATAAAAAGAGAGAAAAAATTAAAAGGAGATGTAGAATTCTGCACAACCCTCCAGTAGCTCTCTTTGTGGCTGCCTCTGTTCTCTATTCGGCCAATGAATCCCACCAACGTGCTGCCTCGTCCCCCACCACTCACGTCCTCTCCTCAGAAGAAACCCGAGCTGCGAGGTGTCTCTTTACATTTTTTTTTTCAGCCCGACTCGGTACAGACGAGCCACAACAAGAGCACGGGTCCCCCAAAACTTCTGTTGTCCACATGTTCGACTCAGACCAGCTCACATAGTGACGTCCATGACTGCCGGTTTCTGCTGTTGGTTCCTAATAGGGAGAGGAAACCTGATTAAGTGAGTGACAGTTTTATGTGTGAGTATTGTGTGGGAGTGCATAGTTGCTAGCCCATGAGCATTGAGTGTTAAAGTTAGCCTCTGCTGTCAAGGGCTGTTGCCGATACCAGCCGGCCTAGCCTGTCATGTGTGTGTGAGACAGACGGAAAGGTAGACTTAAAATGGAATGGGAATGGTAACAGAAGATGAGTGTTTTTGCTGGCTGAAAGGAGAATGGAAAGTTCGCTGGTGGAAGGAGGACATTTTATCCTGAAAGTGAAAACATTCTTCTACAGGTTGTGGAATGTTTGAGTTTGTAGCATAGCAGGTGTTAGCTGTGCTGCTGCACTTCCATCTGCATTATTGTTAAGCTTAGGTCAGTGCACATGCATAATATTTACAGATGTGGATTGTTCAATAACATTTTTAGTGGCTAAATAAGAGTTTAGTTTGTAAAGTGTTGAACTAGCAGAACACTTCAGATATCAACATACTGTATAACTGAATAGTGTTGCATTTTAAGGCCATACTATCCAACACTGGTCTAATAAACGTGGGTAGCACATCAAGTATGATACATGTAGACTATACCATGATAAGTCTACCTACTGGATCATTGCCAGGGGCACAGCTGGTAGTCCTCCATTACATGCTATACTCCCCTTGGCTCGGCTATAACAGCTGGAGGATATAAAGAAGTGATCCCCTGGCACATCTTAGTTCAAGTCTGAAACATTTTTTGTCTTTATCACCTCTATCTCTTCTGTTTCTTTCATTCTTTCTTTTTTGGCCAGCGATATAACCCTGATTCTTTCACATTGGTCATCCTAAAATCGGATGGCATCAAAACTTAATGGACTTGTGGTAGTTTTGTGTATAACTCCAGCAAACTTAATAAACCAATTACTTGACTTTCTTGATCCTGTAACTGTCAAAAAAGGCACTAATCATTGTTTTGATGTTGTGTTGAGGTTTCTCTTGTTACTTGGTAGTAGAAATGGTACTACACACATGTAGTATTAACATTTCATAACCTGCCTTTTGAACTTGGCCTATCAAAAAGTGCTGATGGAATTCCTGACGTGGCTGTTGTGTTTTTGGAAAACACTGCAGCAGCGGGTAGCGAGAGAGCTTAAGGTGAGGGATGGGTACCTCCTGTCTTGTGCTGTGTTGGTGTTAACAGCTGTTGGAATTCCCGCTATGTGAGATCTACAAGCATCCTGGCCCTCTAACCTAGACTCGTGAAGAGCGTCTTTGTCTGAACCATCCCAGGTGATCGTCCCTGCTGCTGCTGCTGCTTCTGCTGCTGCCTCAGAGAGCAGATTTTAGTTTTCAGGCTTTGACTTGATGCTCTCAAAACAGAGTCTTACTCAAGGAAACTTTGATATGACACATCAGCTGTCAGCCGGTCCAAATAGTTGACCTTTCAGTTATGTGAAATACTGCTGCTACACTGAATACTGATGTCTTGAGATGGATTAATTGCCTTCTAAATGATAGATACATTTATTTTTTTGGATTATTTATTTAGGTAACACTTTCATTTTATATTAATGAATTGACCTTGGCTTGATGCTTGATGCTAACTGCATTGAATAGCCCATAACCTACCTACCACTTTAGGTACTATTCATTCAGAGGTAGTTTAAAACATTGTTATGCATATTTAGCTGCTATTTCAAAATGAAATTCATTATCCACAAGCATTATTAGCAGGGATGAGCAGTGATAGAAACCTTTATGCACACTGTGATAGCTATATGTCATGTATACAAGTTGAACTCTGCAGGGTCTGCAAACCTAACCTCAGAGGGGTAGGCTGCACTGCTGTTCCATTTATCCTTTTCTTATATCTGTAGTAGAAGTTGCATTTGTTTTACAATGAAATATGTTTCAGGCATTTTGTACCTGTGACACAGTGCTATCCGAGTGATTGAGTGAAAGTGACTAGGGCTTCCATGGCCCTGCCATCTGTTGTGTTGTTGGCTGCAGCAGTTGGGAGCAAAGTTTACTCAGGACAAGTGCATGTGTTAATGATTGACAGCGTCCTGGCGCCTTGCAGGAACTCTTATATGAGACCTGAGAACACAGAGATAGGGGCACAGGGAGTTTGTATCTGGGTCATGAATATATATTTATGTTCAGGTTTTTCCATTACACCAGTCCTACCCTGCTACCTGTACTGTATGTACAACTTTATTTCGGGAAGATATGTAAATCCAAATCATGTAAATCCTTTGCAAACAAGGAAACATCAGAATGTATTAGATCACATAATGTCTGATTGTAGTTCTGTTTTTGGTTTTGTTTTGTTGAAAAGAAATGATTTTGATCATTTGATTGGTGATCTCAACATCATTGCCCCCACCTTTCATTCATGCATGCTGTATTCTGGCATTGGACCATAAGAGAGCAATCTTTGCTGCTGAGCTCAGTGAGCTGTTAGAAATGCCCTATGTAAGTAGAAGATTAAGAATAACTAGTAAAGGTGACCCAGCTAATATGAACAAAGCTGTATGAACTATTTGCACGATCTAGATTGTGGGTAAAAAGGGGAATAAGCTAAAGTCAGCAAGCCCTCCAGAAATGATCTAAAGGAGAAAATTGGACTGCCCTTTGGTATGAATATCACAATCAACTCATTTAAATTTAGACTACTATTCTCACCTACTGAGTATGATTATGCAATGGTCACTGAGTGGTTATATCCCTTTATTCTGATGCAATGTACATTTATTTTGTTGATTAGAAAAATCCCATACATCTGCAGATTGTTTTGAGTCCTACTTTCCACGTTGCTTGTTTAGATTGTTTGTACGCACATTCTGCCAGTCATCGTCTGAAATACAAACCCTACACTCATTCTTCCATTTAGATTTCAATTTATTAGTTCATTTTTCCCCCATTCATAATGTTAGTAAGAAGTTTGTTCCTGCTCATTATTGGTTTTACTGTTTAATAAGGATGGGAATTGATAAGAATTTCGCAATTCCAGTTCCATTATTGATATCACTTATCGATTCCATTCATTTTTGATTCCCTTATTGATTGTCATTGTGCATGCTGAAGGTATTTCCCCTCTTGGTTGTGATCATTACTGGGGTCATTACTCAAAAAAGTAATTATTACACAGAACACATTTCTTAAAAGTAATGCAGTACGATACTTAATTACACCCAGGTTAAAGACTTTGTTATACTACTGTTTGTTTTGTTACTTTCATGTTACTTGGTAAAATGATCTGAAACACACTGTGCCATAATTGCTATTTAACAATATAAACCTGCAGGCTACAGCCCCACACACCAACACAAATTCCTATCCTAATGAGGACACAAATATGATCTTTCTTTTAGTGTTTATGAACACAAAGCAAAGATGAAAACCAACACAAAGAGACTTCAAAATGATCGTCCCCGTGATTCTACTGCAGACACATGAACAGGTAGAAATAGAGGCTGCAGCCTGATTAGTCAATAGTTTGTTACCTGTTGAAGTTCAGCAGCAGCTCACTTTATCACAGTGCTGGGCTGGGGTCAGCATTAACTCAGCTTTAACATCCTTCTGCCTTCTTGGCTAGCTTAACCTTAGCATGCTGTCTGTGCACGTGCTTGTAAAAAGCTGAAGTTGTGTTAACAGTACGATGCATTTTTGTTCTGGAGCAGGCTTTATTTTACCATAAAGCTCCCACCCTTTTATGCAATAAAAATAAAAGTAATGTCCATATCCACTGTTTTCCTCCACTGGCACACAAACTGAAATCATCTGATTGCAGCGAGAGTGCACGAACCGATAAGCGGGATTGATATACAGGCAGACTAACGATTCCAAGGAATTGGTCTACTGAGAACCAGTTCTCTACAAGAACAAGTCTTTGATTCCCATCCTTACTATTAAAGTACGTTGTATTTCTAAAGTACCTGAACCGTAACTTTATATGAATTTCCTGGAAGAAGTGCAGTTCTCCATCTGACGAAACTGAACGCTAGGAATCCATACCAATCTAATTTCAATATTTAAACCTCCCATCAGTTCTCACTGTGACCATTCTGTGACCTTTGGTTTTAGCTCCCAGTGTGCTGTCTATATAGAGTTTTCTTTCCCATTAATGGCATGTGTAGTTGTGAAATTCATGTGCTTTATAGCTTCAGTAAGTTCTAAATCTTCTCAGCAGAGACATGAGTTTGGGAATGGTAACCTTTGTTGTGGTTACAAACAACAAAAAGATAAACAAATCTTCTGTTCAAGGTCTCTGACCATTGTTCCTTTTAGCTTCGCATCATCCCTTATTAACTGTGCTAGGGGTTCAGTGTACAAAGCAAATGGAGTAGGGCTAAGTGGGCATCCGTGCTGGCAACCCCTCTCTGGGTTTCTATTCTGATTGAGGTGCCTGCTAATTTTAATTCTGGTATTTGGCAAGTTTTACAAAGTTTTGATGCATTTAATAAACTAAATGGGGCCTGGATGCTATCCCAGCTGTCTCAGGGAGAGAGGCCTTTTGCCATCTTTACTAATTACTGTAATATTTTCCTAATTCACCTGATCAATTATCCAAGGTCTTCCTGTACCTAAATTGGTCTCTATATGTTTAAATTTTTTTGTGTGTGGTATAATTGAAATGATCGCCTCCCTCCATGTCATTGGTGCCTCATCTTCCTTCAGAATGTGATAAGAAGTACCGGAATTATCTGATCCTTAAACCACATGTACCATTTGACAGCAAAGCTGTCCGTATAGTGAAATGTCAGGGAGGTATGTCCAAAAAGAAAAGGAGACTGCCCATTTGCCATTCTATACAGGTGAAACTAAGGAACATTTCAGTTCTGCATTGAAAGTGTAATTGCTTTAAGCAGCAGCACTTTGAACCATTTCAGCCTTTGTTTGATTTGGTTGCCATGGTTACAGTGGCCATTTAACTTGAGTTGCGTTCATTTCAGCCCAGCATCGTGATCATCTGTTAGCTGGTGGTGAATCAGCTTCCTGTTGAGGTTGGGATTGACAGCTGATGTTGCTGGGTCACG